AATCTGTTTCCAAATCCTGCGTTAGGTTGCACATGAAAATTCATTTAAATATCCTAGTTCTCCCTGTTGCATCACTGCACAGGATACCAGTCACTCCATTGCTGTCCAGCTGGCAGTCTGGTTGGGAGCGAGCCCTAGGAGGGGGTTATTGTAGGTCACAACAGAGACACACTGCAAAAACAACCAAAAACCCAACAACAACAGGAATTCTCCTTGGCTCAGCTTTCCTTTTCCCCTGCTACTGGGAATGTTTCAGCAAATCACTGTCTTTTGTCTCCCTTTCAATGGACCTTATATCAAGAAATGTGTTTTGTCAAATAAAATTATTTTCTCCAGTTTTACTTAAAACTTTAAAAAAAAAAAAACTCAGTATTTGAATTGGTCACCTGTTATGTCAGGCAAGAAATAAAAACCTCCCAAAGAATCTCTGAGTTAGCATAATGCAGAAGAAACCAAGCACAGATAAATAATTAGGTCAGTAATTTTCAACACAATCCCTGAGTTTGGGTATCCATCCTAGGAGTCTCTGGAGCAGCATTTTATGTGTGTCAAGTAGCAGTAATTTGCAGGGAAACAACTGGTGCACGGGGTACTCAGCACTTCCCAAGACTGGAAGGCAAGTAATGGACTTCTTTTTATTACTAGACTCCAAATCCAGTCATAAAGAGCTATATGCATATTTCAGAAATACCAGATGAGAACAAAAAGAAAAAAAAAAATCAGGAAGGTTTTAAGGCCTAGTCACTGTCAAAGCTCTCTGTCAAAGATGCTAAAAAAGTTTTTTTCATAACAGTCAAAGATTTAAGAAGACAACAAAAATATACAGAAAAGTAACAATGAATTATTACTTCTCCTTATATTGTAAATATTCCAAATTCTTGGAACAGAAAAGGTTTAGTTCACCAGCTATCCTAGCTCTTCAACACTATTTTTAAGAAGGAACCCATAAAGCTACATGTGTGCCAGGTGCAAACATTGTGGAAATACTGCAGTCAAACTGAACAACCCTGTATGATTATCATGATTATCACAGCAAATAACAAAGGGGAAAAAAAAAAAAAGAAACTTGTCAGTATTGCTTTGATTATATTTATGATATAGAAGAGAAATTATGACATAGGCTTATAATGTTGAACGACCATAAGAATTACATTTAGTTGAGTAGATTCACAGAGCTCTGTGCAATCTGCTTACACTAATCTTTTCTCACGGGGCCGTGGGACAGTGCAGAAAGTCCAGCATTCGTTCCTGTTTCTTGTCGTTGTTGCAAAAAAACATTTCTAAAAGCAAAACAGTTGTTTCTAAAAAGAAACAACAACAACAAAACAACATTCTCTAAAAATATTAGAAAAAATAAACAAAAATAGCAATAGATATGACAAAATTAATGTCCCTTCGACACTTTTTAGTGAAAAATTCAGATACCCTATGCCATAATCCATGACTTTACATTATATCCATACATCTCTTCTGTTCGAATGTTAAATAGCTACTGTGGTATCTGAGAAATAATTTGTCTTTTTAACTTATGTCAAAAGAGAGCTTTTATACGGAGAAATCTATCAAGATATCTTTGTTACAATATCTCCTCCCCTAAATTTTCAGAGAATCTTATTTTTTAATAATTTCTTCTTATTCTCACACTACAGGGCATACAATGAAAAACTGAAAAACAATTCAACAAGTATGCAGAATATTCAAGAGAAATGTTAGGTAAAGGGCACAAAAACAAAAAGTAGGGGACCAAATGGTACTGCAGGATCCCAGAGCAGAGGAGACTGGTTCAGATGCAGCAAGGGGCTTGGAGAAGTCTTTTGCTTTAGGCAAACCAGTGTGTATCCAGGGATTGCCCTGAGCTGGGCCGACCGCTCCATGGTGCAACCAGCCTCCAGCTCCTGCACACTCTCCTGGGATCACCGAGCTCTCCAGCTGGGGCTAATTTCATGAAAATCATACATTTTACGTAAGGTAAAACAAATAAAACCGTTACATACATACAACACATTCATGCTAATAAAACCTCATCAATAAAAATGAAACTTTACAAGTTTTAGATTTTTGATAAATAAAGACATGCATGTGAATATCTGCGTGTAGCTAAACAGCTACACATACACATGCATATGTTTATTTATTAGACAGAATACTCCCAGGAAATTTAATGATACAAGAGTTTTTATTTTGTGTATCAACTGCATCTATATATAATAATATATATTTTTTTCTTTTTAGAATAAATTATATAATGGAAAAATTTGCCATAAGGATAATTAATTGCTTTCAGTGTGTCTGAGGTGATACTTATCAGTGTAATGCCATTGCCGTAGACTTAACTGCAGTTTTAGCAAAAGAGCTGTGCAAAGCAGCATGTAATCACTCCCAAACTTCCATGTTCAGCTCATCTGTAGGAAAGAAAGAGTCATACACTGAATTGCTGAAAGCATATTGCTGTTTGCAAGTAGTAGGAGAAAAGCAACAACAGATTGCGATAATCACCCGCTTAAACTTAGTAGAGCAAAAAAATTGAAAAAAAATTAAAAAGGCTGGAAACAATTAGCAATTGGCTCATGCAGCTGCAAAATGACTTTTTGATATATGTATTTGGGTAAGCCTGGATAAGTTATCTCAGTAAACATCATGTATTTGCATATATATGGCCCTGGTACAAATTATTATTTTTGTTCAGAGAAACAGGAATCATTTATCTCTGCAGGCACATAAAGTTTGCTTAATATATATATAGAATTTGTGATTAAAATTTACATGCATTTTTAATTACATTAATAAGAATGTTTTCCTTAAGATATATGCATGCATTTTAAGCTATTACAGTAAAACTATATTACAGGCTACACTACTATAGTAACTGAAAGAAGAAATTCTGCTAACTCAGATCTATACAAATACCATTTTTGCTAACACAGAGTTGCATTGCACAAAGTGTAAACCAGATGTAGCAAGGTATAAAATCAAGCTATATATTAATTTAAATGTACTTAAATAATAAGTATTTAATTAAGTAATTATTTAAATGGTAATTTTAGACATATGTTTTAGTTTATTAGTAAACCTTAACTGAATCCTATAAATTAATTACTTTAAAATAAAAATTAGTGACAAATATTCTGCAATTATCCATAATGTAGTAAGTTAAAACTCAAAATTTTGCATTTCTTTTTATTTCGCCTTATGTAAAAGTGACATCTGTGAAGAATTTTCCTTGTACTTTTTTTTTTTTTAAGTAAAAAAGAAGCTATTTAGAGAGTTCAAAAAACTCAAGGCACTTCCAAAATATATATATATATTTGGGGTAGCTAAATGACTGCTAAATCAAGATGTACAATTAACTGTACGGATTTGAGGTCTATACGGTTGAACATTACTCCACTGCTACTGAAGTAATCAAAACACCACATTGTATTGCCCTGTCTCAATGCATGGTTATGACTCAAAAGACCTTTAGATTAGCTGATAAACATAACACTAGTCACTTTACAGGCTCTTAAAATCTTTACCATGAGATACGTGAAAACGCGGGTATGGATGTACAGAAAATTGCTTAACAGCAGTGTGGTTGGTTGCAATTTCCTTTTCTCTCTTGTGCAATAAAATTACCACATATCAACTCCCTCTACCCCAACAGGTCCCAACAGTTACCCAAGCAGGTCACACCACAGGTTACAGAGCATGTTCGGCTTCAACTAATGCACCCCACCTTAAAATACACCAGTAGGGAGAGAACAAAACCCAGGTTGGCAGAAGGTGGCTCTGACAGAACCACTTCTGTTCAAACTAGGTGAAAGAGAACTTGAGATGATGTTAAGGGCACATGTTAAAGTTCCGTTTTCCTCCCCGTTGTGCTCAGGAAGCCAGAGGGATAATGAACAGGTAGCATTTTATTGCTGCAGTAGGTCCCGCTGCCCCGGCGGATGCCAGCTCCGCCACGGCGCCGGGCCTCTCATCTGCGCAGGGCGCTTCTGGCACGAGCACCCATGCGAAGAGCGGGACTCTCATGTAAATCTAGCTGATAACCAACCTATGGCCCCAAACTGCCTTTCTGCAGGTTTGCACTCTGACTACAGCCTCAATTTGGACAAATATTATGACTAGCAGGTAAGCCTGGGAACCAGGCTTGCCTGCCATGCTAGTGCCTTCCTGCCTTCTCACAGGCTGGGTCACCTTGAAAACAGTCACCATCATTTCCTTCTCAGGAGAAAGGTTGAGTATGAGCAGTGCAAGGAGCAGCAGAGATCTGAACAGTGGACTTCTAATGCAGTAGAGAGACATTAAGATGCTCTTCTAAAATACCAGTGAGTGTGCAGAAATTTGGGGGAGGCTACCTGTATTCAGGGGTGTTTCTCCAAATTCGGGGGAGGCTACCTGTATAACAAAAGATCTTGACAAACTGAAAAAGAGATTCATGCCTATTACAATTAAACTATAGCACTCTAATTGTAAATCTCTTCATTCTGTCGCCATTTTTATGAAAGAAATTAAAGATGCAGAAGCACTTGCTAAAGTCTGGGTTATTTAAACAGTTTGTTTTCCAGAAAGAGAAGTGGCTAAAAATGTAAATGAAGATCTATTAACAAAATTACTATATAATTACATTTAATAAAAGATATTAAAGAATAGAGACATATCCAAAACTTGTTATAGCATCAAACAGGCTGAACTTATTTTTTCACTAGATAAAGTCTACTTCTCCTTTACTGAATGAAAAATAATTTACAGAAATTTTGCAATATTTAATCATTTTGGTATCAAGTTTGAAATCCCTGAAAACAATCTATAATTTTGCAATATAGCTACATTATGTTTGTTTCTATACTACGGAGTTTACCCCCTTAAAAACATTCAAGAAATGTTGGATTTCTGTGTGAATTGTCATTCCAACTATCAGGAGACTATTTGTTCTCTGCAAAGGAGAAAACATAATTTTCTGTTATCAAAAAGATATTCCATATGTGTAGTCAACAGGCTTTTCCAGCTCCCAGAACTAATCACCATCAATATTTTGTTTCATAATGGTTCTAGTCTCACAACCAATTATGTCAAGGCAGGGATTTTGATAAACATAGTGTTATTTTGTGCTTATTGTTTCTGGCTTTATATATATATATATATATAAGAAAGTACATGCTTGCCCTGTGATAGTAACGAGCATGTCTTAGCGCATACCTTTGGCGAGCGCCTGTGTGGTTTTTCACTGCGATCAGCAGCCCACGCCGCGGTGCTGCTCAGCGTCTCACCTCCCTGGCTTTGCAGTGGTATGCTGAGAATGTCGGCCTCGCGGGCCGCCTCTTTGTTAGCGCCGATGCAACATAATGGCTCGCCCAAGAAAGCAGGTTTCTTCAGCTTTGTTGTGCTGAGCACTCTTGACATAAAGTAACCTTCAGTAACACTCTCATGTCCCGTCTTTGGTAAACCTTCTAGGTCATCAGGTTCCTCTGTTTGGGCCAGTGAATCCTTTGATAAAGGACTATCAACCAATGCTTTGCTAAGATAGTAGCCAGGGATTTCAATCTCTGCATTTGTGCATAAGCTTTTGTCTTCAAGTTCAGCCTTTTCCTGGGCTCTTAACATCCCTACAATATGGTCTTCAACTAACATTTTGGAAAGAGTAGATGGGGAGTGAAGAGTGGAATCTTGACTTGTGTAACAAGGCGGACTTAATCCACGAGAAAGAAATTCCTGAGATTTTGGCATGGCAACGTTGCTCATTGTTCTCAGGGACGGCACACATTCTTCCAGAAGGGTCTTAAGCTGCTCTTCAGAGAGGCTCATTTGTTCTTCAGTCTGAAAAAAATAGGGCAAGAATTTCTTTCTGTCAAAATATAATTAATGAAAAGTAGCACCATAAAATACTTCGAGAGAGAGAACAGCACTGGCAGAACTCTTAAACTGTTATTAGTGGGTTTGATTTCAAGCTGAATTTAAGCATCAGATGGATAATTCTACCGTTTCTGCAACATCTCCACTGGGTTCTAGGTAGGTTATACACACTGAGAGGTCAGAAAGAAGCCTCTCCCTTAGAATTTCCCACAAGATATCCTGATGTTTTAATTATCCAAGGACATATTTTCTCATGTATGGATATGTTGTGTAAACACGCACACATGCACTTTGGGATCTTAGTTTCTTAAACCCAACTTGAACATTGCTAGAAGACTTTAAGCCAGGAGGGCGATACAGCTAGGGTCAGGAGTGGATCTGGACAGCACCAGCAAGCAGCACACAGAGGTTGTCACGCCTTGCTCAGGCACCTCTAGCTGCGCTCGCAGAATGTCACACCGCTGCTCCCAGCCCTGGACCCACGGCACATCCGCTACCCTCCACGGGCCTGTGGCACAGAGCGCGCCCCACGGCGCGGCACCGAAGAAACCCCCGCCCTCTGCGCTACAATCCTACCGCTCACGAGAGCGGCTGTTGCTCAGATAGATGTCGGCTCCCGCCTTTCAGTCACTCTCTTATTCAGACGATAGCAAATGCTAATCATTTTTTGGAGGATTCCTGGACATTTCTTAAAAGCTGATATTAAAGACAATGACTAACATTACCAACTAATGTCAAAAAAAAAAAAAAAAACAGAAAAGGGCATTTTCCTTAGAATGAATTTGCAAAGAGAAGTTAGTCTTTACAATCCTTAATGTTTCTTAGTACTCCCTAACAATTTATACAATTTAAAACTGTCAATGACAAAAATACCAGACATATTTTGGATGTATAATTTGCTCACAAAATGTGAATTATAAAGATACAGTTGTATCTTTATAAATAATATATATATATATATATAAAATAAATACTATAGATAGCATGCAACATTTACTGAAAAGGTATCAAATATTTTCCTTTCTAAAAAAATTAAAACTTTGGTTCTGCCCAGGCTTCAGTGGAGTAGGTGACAATTTGATGAATCCCTAAGCTTGCAGGGATTTTTATCACATAATGATTTTATTCATTGCATGATGACTATCTACATTAGGGTGGGACCTAGATGCAGTATTAAAGGAAATATCAACATCAATTCCATGATTTCATTTTTTCCTTATAGAACTACAGAAGAGATATGATGCTGTTTGATGTATATGACTTGAGGAGACTGTAGCCTGAGCAGCCCAGGGTGTATGAATTACATCTGAAAACTATTCATATTAATGAATGGGGAAATTCTTCAGTCAGGAAGAAACTATTTTTCCATTGTTAGACTTGCTCTGGGTATTAAAAATTATAAACTGACACTACAAAATGAATTAGATAGACATTCAAGGTCACTTTCAAGTCACCATTCTGTATTTAAATGTTCAGACATCAATGGTACTTAACAGCAACTATTACATCCCAATTACTTTACAGCATAGGCATTATTTGATAAACTTAAACTGAGATATACTGATGCATTCAGCTTTTTTTAATTGTTCTCCGCCTGCACATGAGTATCATTCCCAACGACACTAAGTTCCCTTGCAAAGAGTACAGCAGAAGATAATTGTGCTAAAGACACTGAGATGTTTATTGCTTTTAAACAAGCACAAGTCCTTAGCAGACTCTGATGGTGCATAGGGGCCCTCATTTAGATTAACAAAAAATACGGTAACTAGACAGACTCAACTAATCTTGACATCAATGTATGTAATTTTGATGCTATAACTAAATTTCCAAACTTGCCCTCTAAGCCTAATCTATTAGCCCATGCTGAATCACTTACATTTCTTCCTGTAGTGTTTTACCTTGCAGAGTCACAAGTGTTTGCAAGTGCCTGCTGTTAGAACATGCTCACTGGAAGAAGCCAACTATATTAACCCAGGTGGAGCACCACAGCAATACAGGAACGCTCCTTCTGAGAGCACAGCTACAGCTAGGGTAAGTATATTCACAGAGCAGAATATTATGCTATGTAACCACAACTATATGTATACCAGAGAGGATTCTCACATGTGGAAAACCACATATAGTGTTCCACATGTTTTTTGAGCGTCTGGTTCCATACTTACATGTCTTGAAGCTCTTAGCCAAGACCAAATGGAGTTAATTTTATGTTAATGACAGGACAATTCACTGATTAGCAAAAGGAATTCAGCATCTGGTGTGAATGAACAAGTGAAAAATGAGCGCACTGAGGAAGATCATCTTGTCCTGCCTATCTTTTCCCCCTTTATTCCTTTTTCCCACCACCTAAACTGCAATACGCTTTTCCACCTCCATGTTTCCTTTTTCCTTTTCTGAGGAAAGTCATAGGGCTGGTATTGCCAATTAACTCCTAGGTGCAGAGGCTAATTACTTTGATTATTGCCAGGGAGCCAGGTGGGGAGACTTAGGGCCTAAGGTCAACAGGGAGGGGAATGACTGTAACAGCCATAGAGTTTGAATGTGTCTGGCAACCTGTAGGCACATCTTCTTCCCCAGTGGCAGGCCTGCAGACAAAGCAGGTGAGGTAAAATACTGTTTATTTTCGTACCATCTTTGTCTCTTCCTTCTTTTGGATCATTTATAAGACGTGCTTGCAATGAAGTATGGAGAAAGGATTTAACATACCTCTCAAGCAAAATTATGTTTTAAAATAACAAGGGCTTACTGTTTGCCATTATCCTGTGCCAAAGTCATTTTAGAGTTAAGGAAAAACATGCAGAAGAAAACATATCTCTTAAATGTCCCTGAGTCATCCATTGGTAACCAGGAGCAAGAAACTTATATTGACATGAAAGCAGACAGACTGTTGTTGAAATCGGGAAACTGAGTTCAGGGAAACATGCAACTCCTAAGCAAAATAAAGGACAAGCAGCTCACACCAAAATCAGCTGTGCATTTGCAACCAAAACAGCGTTAAAACACCTGGGGTCCCATAATACAGTAATTGTGTTAAGAGTTTCCAAAGTAAACATTCATACACAATTGCTCCAAATAATTTCTCATAGTTAGTTAATAGTTGAAAGCAAAACTTGGAATCAACAGTAATGGTTTACAATGACACTAGATTCTACTTCTGAGCTTTCATTGTCCTCGCTGCAAATAATTTACAACTTCTATGCAGAAAAAAAAGTCCTTAAGGATACATCTTTAAAGCCACAGGACATAAAATTAACGTAGTAGAAATGCAGAAACAGCCTTCTAGACAAAGGAAAATGAGCCATTAGGTCTGGTTCCCATTAGAAATTGGAAAACCTTTTAATAGTTTTGGCTAATTTTTAATAGGACGCTGAGTCTTATTCCTTTCCAAGGTTTTTTTTTTACTGTTAACGATCCAAAAAATGAATTCCTAGCCAGGAAATTAGGAGTCTGCTAATGACCTTTTCTGTTTATCTGTGGCTAGTTTTTCATACACTTGTGGCCCTTCTCCGCCTTAACGTTTCTTGTTCTCTGCTGAATTCCTCTGTGACATGTGTCTATAGAAAAAAATCTTACTGCATGGGGTAGGAATGCAAACTTGCACTTAGCTACGGACAGACCTGCTGTGACTCTGGGCTTGCAAGTTCAAAGCTTTAGGATTGTTTTCTATTCTCACACAGGAACCAAAACCAGATAAAAACATGTGGAGAAAGCTAATAATTCAGGATAATTATTGGCAATTCTAGTAAATGATGATAAAATGGCACATTGTAAATGAAGAAACACTAGAAAGCCAGGACTACTTAAGGACTCATGAAGCAGAGAGAAAATTTTATTTTGATTATATTTCTACATACATTTTTAGATTTATATTTTTCTGCTGAAAGTATTACAATGAACAGTTTTATGGTGCTTTAAAGCATTGAAATGAATTATTTCAAGCAAATAAAGTTAGCTTAGTTACAGCCCTGCATTTCAGTAAAAATCTAATAATCAGTTCCCATGTAGCTGCTTTTCTTGCTGGTAAAATGCTCCATTTCAGAAGTTCCTGAATCTCTTGAAATAACACCCTAGCTTTGGACATACCGTCACAGCGAGGTTTTTTGGCAAGTCTTCGTTATTCGTGACTGGCCAACAGTTGCTAGAAGTGCCTTGCAGCTCCGCGATACTGCGAGCGGCGCAGCTCAGCGTGCCCCGCGGCCTGCAAGGCCTCCCCTGTGCACAGCCAGGCCCCAGCCCTCACCTGTGAGCAGTCCTCGTGGTGCCGCTACGTGCTGCCTACAAAGCCACAGATGTCCTGTCATGCCAAAAAGCTTCTTGCAGGTTTCAAAACCATTAGAACAAAGTTGTTTTGCATTAGGAAATTCATTCGTAGTACCCATAACTGGTTAGCTAGCTAAGTTACATTATGGGGATATGATGGCCTTATGAGAGCCATGCAATCAATTCCACAAAGATATTCCTAAGTGCCCAGCATGTTATGCTAGGATTTCAGTGCTTGCTTGTTTGCGTTTAAAGACATGGTGAGATGATTTCCTCTGCAAGGCTAATTTCAGAAGTTGACAAGAGAAACTTTAACTAGAACAGCTCATGAAGATGCCTTCATAGTGAAGTTGCTTCTGGAGAGGACAGCAACTTGCGTGTATTGGATGACATTAAAGACAAAGAGCTGAATAAAGGATACAGAAATTAAGAGCTTCTTGTGCTGCACTCATGATTCACCATCTGGTGGTATTGTGCTCAGTTCAGTTTGGGTGGGTTTGGGGAAATCTGTATTGTTTCAGGAAATAATTCTTTACAAAGGCAGAAACAGGATTCCCGAGCCACACGAGAAAATCTTTTGCTTACGCTCCATCTGCCAGCCTGCCTCCTGTTAGCTACATTTTCCCTTCTCTATTTTTTTCCACTATTTGTATATGGAAAAATGAAAAGGTCTGATCATCAGTTTTCTGTAGCTGCTACTATTCGATGAGAAGCAGAAGGGACAAAAGTTTCTAGGCAAGGAACATGAGAAAACCAAGAAAATAATGAGAGAGGGTGTTGGTGAGCAGCTGGTAACATCACTGACTGAAAGGAAAATTAAGCTTGTGATGCCAGGAGCCATCACAACCACAACATCAGAACCATCGCGAGGCTCAGGGAATCATTTTCCAGAATTTTGTGCATACTCTGGGGGCAGAAGACTGCACTTGGCTGAGGTCACACCCTGCTGACCCTAGAAGGTGGCCAGTGGTTAAAGTAGTAGAAAAAATAGAAAATTAAAATACATTGTTTTTTTCTCTCATTTGATAACATCAACACTAAACTGCATTTCTCAGAGCTCTAGAGTTTTTGCATGGTGTTGCACTGGGATATAATGTAGGGCATGGGATATAATGAGGATGTTCATCATGTCATGATGCCGTTGAATTTGAGAAACTAAACAGAAGCAGGAAGAACAAGGAACTAGCTTTCATCTCCCAGTGCTGAAATAAAACAAAAGAAAATAGAGGCCTAGTATTCTAAAATCTTGGAAACTCTTGAAGTCATCTATAGATAATATTCCCTGTTATCAGAAAATCAGTTAGTTTTAAATGGGGCTATTTTTTTCTGAAAACACTTTAAAAACATAATGAAGCTCTAAATGTTTCCCAACCTCCTCTAACTACAATCAATGTTTGTAGCATTCTGGTATCTCTTGCCCTAAAATGTATATCTTGGCTTTGATTGTATGGCTTATTTGACTGGTGTATATCCTATATAGCTAAAGGATGTTGTCAGATAAGTTTCACTGCTTTCAAAATGCTGCTATCTTGCTACTGAATTAAACTCTGACTTTATATCCAAAAGAGGTAGGGCAGAAATTTTTAGCAAAAAATCTACAAAGCAAGAAATTTTGCTTGTTAAGAACTAAGAGACACATATTAAATATGTAATTAAGTCTACATTTTCTTGGATAGGGAAGAGAGGGAATTAGTGTAGCTGACATTTGTAAATCAACAAAAACTAATAGTCACTGAATGGCAAGAATCAACTATTTTTCCCCATGAAAATAATTAACAAGTTAAGTATAGAAGGAAAGTCATAATTAAAAAAATGATTTGAGAACTAAACTATGGTAAAAATCTCTAATTTATGATATAAAGTGATACCACACTTGGAATTTAAAGTCAATCCACTCCAAGGATATCAACAGAAGAGAATTCAACTCTAATTTAAGACCAGTTCAATATTTTACTCATCTAAGCTGCTCTGTTTGTAGATAAAAAAAAAACAACTGCATTATACATGCATCACTATGCACATTTTCTCTCATTTCTAAAATCTTGTTAAATCAATTTTTAGCCATTTTCTAGAACGTGTGACTCCACATATCATCACTTGTTGTTCTTAGGTTATAGAAACAAACAATTCTTGCTTGCATACACTGTACGTATGTGCAAAAACATGAGAAATTCCTGAGCTGGTATTTATGATCTATTATACTGAATATGACTTTCATTTTCTGGCCTCTGCAGAAGACACAGGATTTCTGCAAGTAATTACGTTATTTAACATTCAGAAAGAGTTTTTAAACATGCCATTTTGTGTTTTTAATTGTTTGCTATTAAGTATCTAACAGATTTTGTTTCATACAACTATCTTCCTTGACTATTACTAAGTTATGGCTTTAATTTTCAGCAAAGCCAACAGAGTTGACAAAAATGCCTTGATGTGGTTGCAGCTGTTTTCTGTTAACAAAAAAATAAACCCACATTTATTTTACTTTTTTTTTTTTCTCTCTCTCTCTCATTTTGGCTTTTATTTTCCAAGAAGTAGATACAGTGTAACGTGATGGGGCCATAATACCCTATATGTTTTAAAGCTTTGTAACTAAGCATCCCGAGAGCTTACAAACTGTCATGAGTCCAATACAATCTATAATTTATTGGACAAATAGGAAATATAAATAAGAATAAGCTGAGGAAATGCAGATTTGTTTCTCCATCATATGAAACAGTGATTGCAAGTGTTGAAACACCAATAAAAGTAACATGTCCCTCCAATAAGAAGAAAAACAGAAAAACCACAAGCACATGATCGATATGACCCATGTTCTTAAGGGGCCAAAAGGCCCCCAAAACAGCAACTCACCCAATGCAAGCCAAGAAGATTCAGAGAAATCAGCAATTGCCAGAAGCTGAGAAGAAATGACAAACTAATAGTCTGTGTGTTAAGCAGGACAGACCATATTGCCCGACTTGCTCCAAGGACGTCTTTCTAAGTGATTCTTATTTATTGGCCCCATTCCTCAAGAGCAGCAGGTACCTCTGAATACTAAATTCTTTCAGACAACACGTATGACTGTACACTGTGTGTCTGAACAGTAATATATTCTGAGGGCAGAAACATTCTTTCCTAATAGGTGAAGTGAAAGTTCTGCTATATCGGGAGTAACAGGATACAGAAAAAAAGATATTTTCTATTGTGAAGACATTCAATTAGCCAGGTTAAGAAAAAAAATACAGATTCTTCTGTAAATGTAGCCTTCTTTCTAAGTAGTTTTCTTAGTAACAGAATTGTAACAACACATACTTCTAAATAACAAGATCTGTAAGATGCCACACTGCCTTAGCTTTCGTTACCCTGTAGTTGAAGATAAAATTAATTAAAAAAATGCTGTACGGGTAAATGCAGTCATATAAAGACTGAGTTCACACACACCTCCAAAAATACCAGGTCTAATGCATTTGAAACTATGGATTTTGCTTGAACAGAATTGTAACAACACATACTTCTAAATAACAAGATCTGTAAGATGCCACACTGCCTTAGCTTTCGTTACCCTGTAGTTGAAGATAAAATTAATTAAAAAAATGCTGTACGGGTAAATGCAGTCATATAAAGACTGAGTTCACACACACCTCCAAAAATACCAGGTCTAATGCATTTGAAACTATGGATTTTGCTTGTTTGATTTTTTTTTTTTTTGTGAAATTACAGCACAGTAACTTTAATGGTACCAAAAAATATAAAATTTGTAGGTAGGGAAAAGAAAGGAAAATGGTAATATTTGCAATTATGTGAACTGAAAATATGGAATCTTAGTTCACAGTGGCAAGACTGATAAATTCTTTAAAAAGAGAAAGAAAACAAATGCTCATCTACCACTCATTAAATATTTCTGACCTTTCAATACACAAGAGGATTCATACTCACTCACCATCTTTAAAAGCTGTGAAATTGTCATTGCTTTTTTTGTATATGAGTATAGATAAATGAGCAAGGGTGCGGGTGGTTTCACCACATCTGAGTGTCTCTTCATGATAGGTCAGAGCAAGAAATGAGAAAGCTCTGGGGGCTTTGTGTGTCTGGCAGAGCTGGTTGCCACATGGCAAGTGCAAAGGCTCCACTGGGAATGTCAGGTTACAGCTGTGCTCGTCAGTGTGGGCGTATATTCTATGGAGTACTGAAAACACATTTTTAAAGAAGAAGAAGAAAAAAGAAAAATCTTCTAATTAATGGCAGGGTGTTTTGAAATGAGATACCTGATTCCAGCTCTTCTTTTTGCATTCAAAAAGAAAGGTGGGGGGTTGCTTTTTGAAGAATGTGAACAGCACTGCCCCAGGGAAAACATTCTATTTGGAGTTGAAAATGTTTGCACCCATTCTAGTTTTTGTGGGGAAAAGTTCTTTCAATAAGTACAAGAACATGAATTTAACCTTGAAATATTAAAATACACATTACCAGAAAATCTACATTGACCAATGCAACAATGAAACAGCTAAGACTGTGATAAAACAAGTGCTTACCAACTAATACTACTTAGCGTTTGACAGTCATTCTCAAAAATATTAGAAATGAAAAACGATAGTATTAATCATTTTCTGTCTAACTAGGAAGGTCACTCTTCAGTAACACTGAGCTATTAAGCTAAACCGGAGCTTTGACT